TGGCTAAAGTAACTTGAGATGTAAGGAATGGTCTTTGCACCATGTTAGCATTTAAGATTAGGCACCAATTCTGGCACTCAAGTGGCATGGAGGAAAGTGTCAGGCAGAAGGCTGGCAGCATGAAGTAAGACCCCTCTAGTGCTTTCCTGGGGCCTGGTGGCCAGTAACTCTGGGGGTACAGTCCCCTTCTTCAGTGGTGAGGATACTGTAGAGTCCTTGGGAGGAAAACCATGGAAGACTGAGTCCAGAAAAGGAACCCAGCAAGTGAAGGGTAGAGCCAGCAAATGCCTCCTGAGGATACTGTAAGAGCAGGGGTGAATGAGTCCTGTTGAAAGACAGGATGAAAAGTGCAGGTCCATCTTAGAGGACAGAATGTCACCTGGTGTGTGTGGCTGTGGCAGCTCAGTGTGCTGCCTGCATGTGGCCTTGGCTATCCGGAGATCTGAGAATTGAATAGGTGGGGAGGAGGAGGGTGAGGAAATAGTAATTCTAATGTAAATACAAGGCTTAGGTTCTGAGAGGCCTTTACAGATAATCTGCAGGGAGCTGGAAGGTGAGATGTAGTTAGCAATAACTTACTCTGCCAGCCTCCCACAGGGACTGTGAAAATTAATTAACCTTCACAAAGTGTTTTGCACACTGAGAATTAAGGTACTACACTAGAGTAAAACTTTAATACTCCATTCCACTGGGCTTCTAGCTAATGACACACAAGCCAAGACCTTACTGCTGTAAAGTATTGTTTGGTCTAAATATTTTTTCCTTTTCTCTCTGTCCTTTGCCTCCTTTTAGGAACAAAATCTATTTGGATTTCAAAGGGGCTCAGAAAGTCATCTGGTCAACCCTCTAGCATTGTGTTAAAATAATTCCAGGAAAAAAAGGAGCTTCTTCCTTTCTTAAATGAAGGTGCAGTCTTGACCCTGGACAGAACAAATGGTATTTCTTTACACTTCAGATAAATTACAGGAGCTAGAACTCAGGTAATACTTCAGAATAGGCCAGTGACTTTGGGGAGTGGTCATTGTGATTCCAAGTGTTTCTGCCTGGGCAGGGAACTCTGATACTCATGTCTAGTTGAGAAGCTTGGTGAAAGGCTAAGTCACAAAGAGAAAACCCTCCCTGGGGAAGACAGAGAGCTTATGAAGTGCTCTCCACCTCTTTGTTTTGCACATGAAGAAAATGAGAGGTCAAGGCAGTGAAGTGACCATGTGTGGCCCCCCAGATTCTCAGATTCAGTACAGAGGGGAGCCCACACCTCAATTCTCAGCCCATGTTCCACCCACAACACTGCACTGCCCAAGAACCCTGAGGTTTAAAGCAGAAAACCCCACAGGTTTGTATTCAGGATTGGTAACGATTCAGATCCATCTCCAGTCTGCTGGTTCTGGGGGAAACACGATCGGAACAAGAAACAGGGTTGCACTGACTGCACCACCTGGCTGGAGAGGGCCAAGGTCAGGGGCCTAACTCCCTTTTCACATCTCTCCACACGCATGGCCAGACCCTGGACACTAAAAGTCTCAGCCAGTCAGTTATTTGCCAGGAAAGAAAATGGAAGCAATTTCAGCTTCCCCTGGCTTTGTGGCTGGGAGAAGGTGCAGAGGAATTCAGACTCAGCACCGCCCCCTGCCGCCTTTTCCAAGCAACTGCAGTCTCCCAACAGCAAGGAGATGCCTTGACTAGAAAATCCTGATGAGGGTTTTCTTATTGCCCTGATATCAGGGCAGTTTTGCTAACTGCCTGCTGATCTCGATCACTGTCTCTTTTATCATCGCAGTCTCTCTCGGGTCTGCTCACACACCGTTAAAAGAGCTGAATTAAAGGAAAACCTAAGAGTTTGTAGAAAATTTCTGCAAAGGCTATGAAATCACCAATTGGATTTTCAAGATGGATGGGTCCCCCCTAATTAGATTCTGCAGCCTTGGATAAACCAACCAGCTTCATTCCATCCTATAAAGTGAGCCATTTTTCACTGGTCAGGTTTACAAATTGTGCCTACTGTGACCTCAGAGCAGACTGTCCTCACCTTTCACTATGCTCTCAGGGCAATGTAACAGCATGTTTCTACCCAGGTAATAACACCCCATTAGAAGACATGTGTTGGGTTAAGACACATCCCCTGATCTTACCTTCACCCCCCAAAGTAGGACTGCAATTACAGACTGGAAAGGCACCCTGAGGTGTCCCTTTTGCAAAATGAGACATCCTGGAAGAAAACCCCAGACAGCATTTCCAAAGTGTGGTCCGTGGCTGCCTGCATCTGCACCCCCAGGCCTGCTAAGAGGTACATTCTCGGGTCTCGTCCCTGAGACATTCAGATTTAGATTCTCCAGGTGGGTGGGAAGGTTGGTGGGTTGGTGGGGGGACCTAGGAATCTCCCTAGGTCATGATGATGTTCTGGTAATTCTGAAGTAAGCTGGCATCTGAGAACCACGCAGCTTAGTTCTTTCATGGGCTCTTCGAAAGAGCCACCTGCTATATGTACTGTATTTACCTTATATGACATATATCTGACATAAAAACATATATCCCATATCACTTTATATGACACTTTAGTTGCTCCCATCTGAAGGGAATGCCAAGGAAGTGGGGACGCCTCTCCCCCAGAGACTCCCATGTTGCTGCAGCTCTGCATCCCAGAGCTCTGATTCCTGGGCTCAGGAATCTGGGTGGCAGAGATGGGGCTTGTGTGTCAGGCAAGGGCACATTCCTTCCCTGCCTGGACACCACCCCAGAGCACAGGGAAATGACCCTCGACAGAAAGCGTTTGGATAGTGGCTGGGCAGGGATGGTCATTTAAGATGCCCCAAGCTCCAAGAAATTGCTGGAGGCCTGACTCAGTTAGACAAGGAAAGGTGGCAAGGTGAGGCGTGGATCCTGACAGCAGTGTGGCTGAGCTCTGGGGCCGACTGTGGGTCACTAGTCACACTGCTCTGTGACCTCAGAGCAGACTGTCCTGGCAGGACAGGAGCCTGGGCGGTCCCAGGTCTCAGAGCTGCAGAGAGGGTCCACCAGGAATGGGCAGAGCTCATTGCTCTAGAAGTCATTTTTCTTCAAAGAGCTCAAAGTGGCCCTGCTCACCCTCTCTCTACCCTGGGTTAGATTCTGGAAAGAGCCCAGATGGGTCCACTTATCTAGCAGGTTTCAGCTGAGGACAATTTATAAACGCAGCTCGAGTCTCCATCCCAGAGAGTGGCATGGGTCCCCTCGGGGTGGGACCCTGGCCTCCCCCAGTGATTCTGGCAAAAGGATTCTGCCTCCAGGGGCTTTGTGTTGCTTCTGGAGAGCTCAAGGTTCCCCCCCCCCCCAGAAAAAGTAACTCTGTGTGTGTGTGTGTGTGTGTGTTTGGTGGGGGGTGGTTTCCATGGCAAAGCGACCCCTGGGTCTGGTGGCCCAAGCTCTTCCTGAGTCTAAACTACATGCCTCATGCTAAAATGTAAAGTTTTCTGAGCTTCCAAGGATGGATGCTGGGGAGAGCTATTTGGGGGGCAACCTGGTCCCCACTTCCTTGGAGAGGAATGGCGGCCCGAGATGCAGGGAGTGGACCTCACCCTGGAAATTCAATGGAGACTGGGTCTCCCGTGTTCGACCTGGGTCTCCTCCCCTCCCCCTGCAGGCTGTGGCTACCACCACTGGACACACGACAAACACTGAGCCCCGGTTCCAGCTCACACCTCAGGCTCCCTCACCCTCTGCTTACGGGACAAGGCGTGGGGAGAGTGAATGTCCCAGATTTGCCTCCTGCTCCTAGTCCCATTGAGAGCAAAGAAAAGAAACCTGTGGCAGGGAGATCAGGATTGCTGACAGCATTTCGCAAGTCCACCAAGAGGCCCCTCACTCACTCTCATTTCACCCTCCTCCCTCCCAGAGCCTGGAGGTGAGTGCAAGGGGAAGCCAGTGGGACCTTGCTCATCCAGCAAACCTGTAACCCTGGGGGGCACTACCCGACTTGGGGAGCTGGGACAGGACATTCCCTCCTGCCTGACCAGGCGAGGTCAGCCTGACCTTTCATGATCCTTCTCCCTGGGCCCGCCCTGTGGGAGAAAGAATCGAGTGTGTGGTTACAGGAGGAGGCAGCAGAGGCCCGAGCTGCCAGTGGTGCTGCTGGCCAGTGTTTCAACAAGGGAACTTTCTGGAAGGTTTTGTGGGGGTGTTTTATGGGTACAAGCTCCGCCTCATCAGTGTGATCATGAACCCCTCACAGCGGGTGCTTGGTGTTCTGTTAGCTTAGCCGAGAGCCTGGTGAATGCTCTTCAAATATGCTCCCCGGGACCATGGCCGCTGCCATGTGCCAGCCTTGGGCGGGACACATGGTCGCAAACTGAGCTGTCATTGCCTTCTCCTGGGACAGAGGCTGGGTCTCCAGGTGGAGCTAAGTGTTTGCTTGGCCCTGAGAAGCAGCTTACGGGGGAGCCTGGGGAAGGGGTGGGTCTCAGGAGCCCCCACACGACACCACATCCTCTCCCTCCAAGCCAGCAAACCACCTCCTAGAAGACACCCCAGAATCACCTGACCCCACCGGGTCATCTGTGTGGAGTCTCATGAAAACAGTACACCCCTGTGGGGTTTCCACCTTCTCCCTTGACTCCTGACAGGCGAGGGCTCTTCCCGGCCACCTCTCTGGCCACGCATCCCTCAGAAACAGATGTGACCAAGGATTTTATTCTTTGATAAAAGAGAATAAAAGAAACCCTAATAGAAAACACCACAGCTGTTCTCAGGGAACAGGGGACGACCCCTTTCCACGAATCTTTTCTCACTTCTACATGCAGTGTGGAAGTGAAGTATCCCTTCCAGTGTGTCAGTCATGAAAGCTTTGGAAGCGGTACATGCCGGGTCTGTGTAAGCCAGGTCTGAGCATCAGACCTTGGTGACATCCACAAGGCCTAACCCCTCCAGTTGGCTTGGAGCCGTCACAGGCTCTAGGACAGACAGGAGCAATTGCTCTGGGTCTGTTTTTCACATGTGTGTACAGGGAGCACGAGAGACAGGGTACCCACTTTTTCAGGGCGCACTCCAGTTCGTTCTTTTCCTCATGAGCTTCTTGGAGCTGGGTGAAGATTCTGGTCAGGAAATCCTCAAAGTTGGACAGCAAGTGAGGCTCATCCTTCTTCAGCTGCAGCCAGAGTTGCTTGACGTCACTTTCACTGCAAGAGAAAGAGGGATATTGACGTGGAAACGGGGTCTCTGGGGAGTGCAGAGGTACCCAGATGTGAAATTGAGGGCGCCCCTGTAATAATGAAGAGGAGAGCAAACATTTATTGAGCACTTGCTTTTTGCTAGATGCACCAAATCTGTTTGCTTGCTCTCTCCTCAAGGTGACCTAGGAGGCAGGGTCTTTGACCAATTACAGATGAGAAACAGATGGGGAAGGGGAAGTAAGCTGTCATGCCAGCCAAATGGCAAATGATGGAGCCGGGAGTCAGACTCACAATTGTCTGTCCCCTGTGTTAGCCGCTGTCACCGCCACATTGGACCGTTCGGCAATCCTGTCTTTCTCAGCTGGCTCTGAGCTTGCACAGCCATGCGGCGGGTCTGGCTCAGGATGTTGGGGAGAAGTCGGGAGGATGCGAGCTCGGTGCGTTTGAGGACAAAGGAGAGGTTGGTCGCCCCAGGAAGGAGGCTGCTCACAGCTGAGAGGTAAGGACTTGCCATCTGATGGATGGCAGAAGGCAATTGTCACTGCGGGGGACAGAGGAGGGTATGCAGCCCCCGCTGGGGCTCAGTGGCACTGGAGTGACTGACAGGCTAATGGAAAGGAAGGAACAGGTTCAGAAGATAAAAAGAGGCAGGTGGAGAGACAAAGACTCAGGGATATGCCCAGACCCCCCACCTGCCCTCAACAGGACACTGGGCGTGTGTGTGGCACAGCCATGGAAATGCACAGGGGTGCTGGCCAGCCAGGGGAGCGGCAGGGAGACCCACGCCAAGGACTCTGCTCTTCTTTTCCAGGAAAACTCAGCAATTACCGTCCACGAGCAAACTGAGCCACAAAGCAATCTGATTTGTACCCCATTAAATGCTATAACTCTAACACTTGAGGGTAGCCATGACCAGGAACCCTCAGGATAAAGAAAAATGTGTTTGAGTTGTATAACAAGCACCGTGTTTGAGACACCTGCTTCAGACGGGATGCTTGATAGTCCCATGTTAACATTATGCCTGGGACATTGCTCTCTGCACCCAGTGGAGACCCACTGAGAAATGAACCTACCTCTGGTCTAATTATCCCTCCATCCCTCTTTTTTTCCTCCCTCATCTCATCCAAAAATCTATCAACTCATCTAGACCATCCACCCATCCACTCATCTACTCACCCACTCATGTGCTTGCCCTTCCATCCACCCATCCATCCATCCATCCATCCATCCATCCATCCATCCATCCATGCCATCTGTCCATCCGTTCATCCATTCATCCACACATTCATCTAATCATCTACCCAACAAATACATACCACCTGTTGAAAACCAGCACTGAAGTGGATAGTGTGAGGGAATACGAGGAAACAAGAGAAGGGAGAAGAAGGAGCTCCCTGTTTCCCGAGTTCTCCCACATAGAACATGCTGTGGCTGTCTGCTGCATAAAATGGAGATGGAGCAAAGAATACAGAGAATAAAGGGCCTCAGAGAGAGGGTGGCTTCCCACCAGCATGGCAGGCTAGTCCCTCATGAATACAAATGCATAGCCAGTCAAGCGCCCTGCCAGCCTGGTCTGCCTGCTTGCACCTGCCAGGCTCCTCTTGGCACCTGGAGAGTAGCCAGTGGGCCAGAGCCCCGGGGAGACTTGCACACCCACCTCCCCCAGCCCTCGCTCTCTGACCCACTTAGTCATGGCCACATCTCCGCACCCAGATTTCCGGAGTAGGGACAAGTCCTCCCACCATGCATGGAAATAAGCACAGGCCCAGAGCTGCCCAATCACTCGATCACTCAGACCACCTGGCAAAGCTGAGAGCCAGATGTCAGTGCTGGACTTCTGGACCCCATGGATGCTGCCCCTGCTGGAAGGATACAGGAGATTCTAGGGACCAGGGGGTTCTGGGAGGTCAATCAAGCCACATCCTACTTCTGGAACAATCCACAAGCCACTCTGGTAGGTGAGTCTTAAAAACCTCAGAATACTTCACAGCCTCCCGTGTCCTTGTCTGGGGTCTCAGTCTGGGCCACGCCCCTCACAGTGCACCCTCAGCCCACTTTCTTCTGTTAACTTCCCCGGGGCCAGAAGTCGCTGTTCACCATCTTCCACAGCTCAGGGATCAGTCTTAGTCTCCCCTCCCCCTCTCCCTCCCCCAGAGTCATCCTCACCCCTCCTGAGACGAACACCAAACCCAAGACCTAGAGGCCCCCAAATGGAAGGGGAAAGAGCAGGGAGTGTGAGGAGTGGGGAGACCCGAAGGTGCTGCACGTGTTTTGAGGCCACCGTCTGTTTTCCACCAGCTCCAACATCGTTTTTCTTCTACTTTACTAGTTTGTTTTACTTTAACATTTCAGTTCATTTTAAATGTCAGATCTCATATCCACACATCTCTTTATTCCCAAGCACGTTTTTCCAAAAAAGAGAGAGCAGTGGGGTTTTACGCTTTGTTTGCCACGTGCGGCTGTGGAGAACTGTCAGCTGAGTTACTGAGCATCCAAATGGCAGTCTGGAAGAAGCTTCCTGAACAGCCTCGGTCTGGCTCAGGGACACAGCGCATGCCTTCACGGGGAACGCGGTGCTGAAGACGGTGGGGGCGGGGGCACCCTGTGGTAGCGGGTGGCAGGGGTGCTTGGCGGCAGAGAGACCCAGGGGTGGCTCCAAGGAGGAGCCAGTGGAAAGACTGGCAAGCAGGTGGGGGTGGGAAGCCCCAGACACAGCTCTTGGGGTTCGGCCCTGACCCTGCAGGGACCGGGAGGAAGATTATTACGTTTCTCAGGAAAAAGGGTTGGAAAGGCCCTCCCTGGTGGCGCAGCGGGTTAAAGCACAGCACAGAGAAGCTAAAGCCACTTCAGCATGAGTTCGATCCCCGCCTGCCCCGGAGGTGACCACATGG